TGTGTGTGTGTGTGTGTGTGTGTGTGTGTGTTTCTGTTCAGTGCCCTGAGATGACTTCTGTTGTGACTAGATAAACTGAACTGAACTGTTTGAGTTGCCAGGTCACTTCCTGAATTGAGCAGGAACTAAGACTGAGTGGACGAACCACCAAAGAAAAACATTCTCTCAGGGTTTTGTCCTCAGATTCATCAGAAAAGGTTCAAAGGACAAGTGAGGGACCAATTATGCAAAAAAAATAAAAAATCCTAATATAATTTTTAATATTTAAAATGGGTGTTGAGGTTTGGCCACATTTCCCTTCCTGTTTTTGTACAAGTACTTTATGGGGTGGCTTGGTACTTGAATTTCAGGTGTTCACAATATGTGTTATCTATACAACCCCACCACCCCCATGCTGCACTGAATGCTACCTGATGAGCTGTGGGCAAAGAAAGAGACAAGTTGGTTTAGTTTTGTTCACATCCAATAATCCTGGCCTTGGGGAGTGAATGCTGATTCCTCCATATACATGAGCTCATTTAGGCTTGAAGCTGAAATCAGCTGCATGCTCTTCACATAAATGAGCATTCTTTATAGTCCTAGAATTGTAGAAATAGGTGTAATTTCCCTGTAGCTCATAAAGGAAGCTTGGAAAATCGTCATGTCTAGTATTTGCCACAGACCTGTGTACTTCAAACGACTGAGGTACCATCTTGTGTTTCTACTATATACACCTCAAACCATCAGGCCTAATCTCCACGTCTAGCAGGGTTACTCCTTGGTATGGACTGGTAAAAAAATCACTGTTCTTATTAAAGCTTTCATCTTTGAGCTACGAGTTATTTTTGCTGATGTACAGAGGTTGGGCCTTGGATGGACTTGTCCTGCTGCATCACCTGTTAAAGGACTGGTCAGAAAGATGAATGAACGGTCAATCACACCCTCCTGCCTCCTGCTGCCACCCACAGCCACTGACGTTAGAAAGCTGCTCCAGGTTTGGTCCCAGTGTCTCTCAGAGGACATGGCTGCTACCTCAGAGATGAGTCAGAGGTGCTTCAGCTCTGAGGGGCAGTCTTCCGGCTCTCTCTCAGGATGCTGTCCAGGCCGTTGAGCTGGCGGAGGAAACCTCGGTTGGGGATGACGCCTCTGTGGTCTTTGACAGTCTTGATGGCCTCCACCAGGGTCAGGTTCTGTCTGATCATCAGGTAGGCCAGGACCAGTGTGGCTGAGCGGCTCACTCCCACAGTACAGTGAACCAGCACCTTCCCTACACACACACACACACACACACACACACACACACACACACACACACAAACATTATTTCCAGTTTCCTCATGAATAAACCAGTAAAACGAGTTTAATGTAGAGCTGAAACAGAAAAATGTAAACTGCTGATTCCTTAAATGTTTGCTTTAACATTCACTTGTTTTTTAACATTCACTTGTTTCTTATGTTCCTTGTTAAAAATCCATCCATCCATCCATCCATCCATCCATCCATCCATCCATCCATCCATTCTCTTCCACTTATCCGGGGTCGGGTCGCAGGGGGTAGCAGCCTAAGTAGGGAGGTCCAGACTTCCCTCTCCCCAGCCACTTGGGCCAGCTCCTCCGGGGGGATCCCAAGGCGTTCCCAGGCCAGCCAAGAAACATAGTCCCTCCAGCATGTCCTGGGTCTTCCTCTGGGTCTCCTCCCGGTGGGACGTGCCCAGAACACCTCACCAGGGAGGCGTCCAGGAGGCATCCTAACCAGATGCCCGAGCCACCTTAACTGGCTCCTCTCGATGTGGAGAAGCAGCGGCTCTACTCTGAGTCCCTCCCGGATGATCGAGCTTCTCACCCTATCTCTAAGGGAGAGCCCAGACACCATGCAGAGAAAACTCATTTCGGCCACCTGTATCTGTGATCTCGTTCTTTCGGTCACAACCCAAAGCTCATGACCATAGATGAGGGTAGGAACGTAAATCAACAGGAATATTGACAGCTTCACCTTTTGACTCAGCTCTCACTTCACCACGACAGACCAATACAGCTCCCGCTTCACTGCCGATGCTGCACCTATCCGCCTATCAATCTCACACTCACGCTTTTTCCCTCATTCATGAACAAAACCCTGAGATAATTAAACTCCTCCACTTGGGACAGGACCTCCTCCCCGACTCGGAGAGGGCACTCTACCCTTTTCCGGCTCAAGACCATGGCCACGGATTTGGAGGAACTGATCCTCATCCCGGCCGCATCGCACTCAGCTGCATACCACTCCAGCAAAAGCTGTAGATCATGACCTGATGAAGCTAATAGGACCACATCATCTGCAAAAAACAGAGAAGCGATCCTAAGGCTGCTGAAGAGAAGACAGCCCTTAGGCGAACCGATTTGCCCTGTTGGCACGCACGCAGCTGGATATCTCATCAACTGGAAGACTTGATGATGTGTCTATCTCTGCTGCCATCTGTGGATTTTAAGGATGCATATTTAATTGGATTTAGGATAATTGGTTCCTACTTTTTGGATTCGGCTGGTTTTATCTACAATCAAGGAAGTTGTCGGCAGCAAATTTGGACCTTATCACGCTGCTTGCCTTTATGATGGCTTGGTTCGTGTCTCGAGTACCCAGACTCAAATGCTTTGGGCTGAATGGATCAGATCTTGGGGATTTTACTCAGTCACGTTCCATCGGTGTGGCCGTGTTATTTTGGACATTTCAGAACTGAGTGGACCAATACAGACTCAATGTAGATGTCATTAAGTTCTGCCTGTCCCCAAAACAACTGTGTGTTTATCTGAATTTGGCTCCCTTGGCTGGCCTTGAAGGCCATCTTATCTGAATTTACCAGGAAAACATGTGATCTGATGCTCACCACCCCTTCCCTGAGGAATTTCCAACTGATAACCAGATGAAACCAGCTGAATAAACTTGTGTCATCATTTCAGGACTCTTGGATTCTCATAGACGTTATTCTTGGCCATTCCTTGACACCCCTCGAGAATGTTTATGGATCTCACATTGATTGATTATTCCATCTTTATCAGAACTCTTACAGTGACCGCGAGAGCATCTATGAACATTGCTGACCACTCTCATCTCCCCCGTCTGCAGATTGTCTACGTAAATATGTGCTTGTTTGTGCGAGGTGTTTTTTTTAATTTTAGAGGTTGTTTTTTCCCTTAGGCAGGAAAAAAAAAGTCTGATAGGAAATTTTTTTCATCTCCAACTCCTACATGTGTCCAGTTAACCACTGTTTATGTCTGTCCAAACAGGTCTCACTTGTAAATGAGTCTTTGAGGCTCAATGTGATTTATCTGTTTAAATAAAGGTTGAATGAAAAAAAGGCCACCAAAACGGATACCCTCAACACCTTGGCTGCACCTAGAAATTCTGTCCATAAAAGTTATGAACAGAATTGGTGACAAAGGACAACCGTGACGGAGTCCAACTCTCACAGGGAACGAGCCTGACTTACTGCCGGCAATGCGGACCAAGCTTTGACACCGGTCATACAGGGATCTAACAGCCCGTATCAAAGGGCCTGGTACCCCATACTTCCGAAGTACCCCCCACAAGGCTCCCCGAGGGATGCGGTCGAATGCCTTCTCCAAGTCCACAAAGTACATGTAGACTGGTTGGGCAAACTCCAACACACCCTCCAGGAACCTGTTGAGGGTGTAGTGTTCCACGACCAGGACGAAAACCACACTGCTCCTCCTGAATCCGAGGTTTGACTATCCAACAGACCCTCCTCTCCAGAACCCCCGAATAGACCTTACCAGGGAGGCTTAAGAGCGTGATCCCTCTGTAGTTGGAACACACTCTACGATCCCCCTTTTTGAATAGGGGGACCACCACCACCCTCGTCTGCCAATCCAGGGGAACTGCCCCCGATGTCACGCAATATTGCAGAGTCGTGTAAGCCAACACAACCCCACAACATCCAGAGCACTAAGGAACTCCGGGCGAATCTCATTCACCCCTGGGGCTCTGCCACTGAGGAGCTTTTTAAACACCTTGGTGACCTCAGCACCAGAGATTGGAGAGCCCAACCTAAAGTCCCCCCAGGCTCCGTTTCCTCAGTGGAAGACATGCCAGTGGGATTGAGAAGGTCTTCGAAGTATTCTGCCCACTGACCCACAACATCCCGAGTTGTCAGTGGACATCTCCACCTCCTCGTCACCCAAGTGTCCAAGACATGCGGCCGCAAATCAGATGAGACGACAACAAAGTCGATCATCGAACTGCGGCCTAGGGTGTCCTGGTGCCAAGAGCACATATGGACACCCTTACGCCTGAACATGGTGTTTGTTATGGACAATCCATGACAAGCACAGAAGTCCAGTAACAGAACACCACTCGGGTTTAGATCGGGGGGGGGGTTCCTCCCAACCACACCCCTCCAGGTCTCATTGTCCTTGCCCACGTGAGTGTTAAAGTCCCCCAGTAGAACAAGGGAGTCCTCAGGAGGCGCACTCTCCAGTATTCCCTCCAAGGACTCCAAAAAGGGTGGGTAATCTGAGTTGCTGTTTGGTGCATAAGCACAAACAACAGTAATTTTTTTGTTAAAAATCCACATGTAACAAACATCTGCTTTTAGTTCTTTTGGCTAAAAACAATATTTTGAAACAGGTCTGACCCAGAATGTCATTTCATTTACTGTATTTTTTGGACTATAAGGCATACTTAAAATCCTTGAATTTTCTCAAAAATCAACAGTGAGCCTTATAATCCGGTGGTAATTATGGTTGTGTTTACTGACTTCAAACTCATTGTAATGTGGTACACGGCGCTCAAAAATCTGTCAAAATGAACTTGTTTCGCTTAAATCACCTTTTAGTTTGAAAAATATGGTACATGTAAATTGAGTCTTTCTGCAATTAGTTTTTCTTTTTAGCTGATTTTGCGTCTTTTCAAGTTGTTTTCAGTAGGATTTCATGCATGAAGTTGCTGTGGTTGTTTCGTGTCTCTGGCCCAGTTCAAACCTGGCAAATCTTCAAAACGATTGTTTTGTTTTCATAAATTACACTTTAAGGGCCCTTTTGTCGTCAGTTTATTAATTATCTCAGCCAATAGGATGGCTTCACATTAAAACCAGTATTTCTGTGTTGTGACTGTCGTTAGCAAGTTATAAACACTATTTATGAGGGAGTCCCTAAAATGTCTCAAACGCTTCGCAGGGCCTCATTAGCTAGTAATTTGCATGATGTCTCAGTTTAACAATTTTCAGTCAGGTCATCTAGACAGTTTCTTTTTTTGCTGAAACATTTCACCTTCCATTCGGAAGGCTTCATCAGTCAAGGAAACACACAACACAAAACTGATTCTTTCCCCAACAGCTTACTCCAAAGTGGAACAAACCAGTTATCTTGGTGCTAAGATGGTGTCTTTGGCACACACCCTCCTCAGTTGTGTGCCCTCTTCCTCATCGACAGTTATGAGGAGGGGGCGTGCCAAAGACACCATCTTAGCACCAACATAATTGGTTTGTTCCACTTTGGAGTAAGCTGTTGGGGGAAGAATCAGTTTTGTTGTGTGTTTCCTTGACTGATGAAGCCTTCCGGATGGAAGGCGAAATGTTTCAGCAAAAAAAGAAACTGTCCATATGACCTGAGTGAAAATTGTTAGATTGTAAACCTGGATTATTGAGCATGGACTTTTTAGGCTGTCTCGGTTTAGTTTTTGTGATTCTACAGGTGTGGTTTTTGTGACTTGCCACCTGTTTTTTTAACTATTGTGTGGAAACGTGTTTGTATTTATAACTCGACGCTGTACGTGTTGTTACTCTGGGGGTGCATCATGTTAATCGTCTCTCACTGACTTAGCTGTGCGATGAAAATTGCATAATTTTGATCTAGTAGCTTCATCCACCTCTTCTCCACAAGAGGCCCGGGCCAATATTTCTTTCACGGGGTGTCCACCAAGTGTTGTGTGATAAATCGAAGGTTCGTGGGCATGTTTGTTTGTGTGTTAAAGAACGTCTCACAACTACGCCTGTCGCGATAAACAATAAATCAATTAATCACATGATAAATGAAAATAATCAACCTCTTTTTCATCTACAGGGCGGCTGTGGCTGAGTGGTTAGAGCAGTCGTCCTCCAATGCGAGAGTTGGGGTTCGAATCCACCAGCAGTCACATGCTGAAGTGTCCCTGGGCAAGACACTGAACCCCTCATAGCCTCTGATGTGTGTCCCATCAGTGTATGAATGTGATCTAAAGCTCTGATTAGTCTCTTTAGAATGATTTGTTCAATTAGCTTTGTAGAGATCTAGTATAGAGCTGTATGAATGGGTAAATGAGGCACAGATTGTATTGTAAAGCACTTTAAGTATCTTGAAATAAGACAGAAAGGCACTATATAAGTACAGTCCATTTACCATTTATCGGCTTTATCGTTTCTTTGTGTCTCTCTTTCTACTGAAGACACTGGATGTCAAAAGGCTCAACTCCGGTGCTCTTCACTGACCCTCCCTTTCTCGTTTCTCTTTAAAATCCGTTTTAATTGTCCAAAATCACGTTTTTGGATCGTTAAAAGCAGCTAAGCTGAGAAGCAAAGCTACGAGCTAAGCTAACAGGCCGATTTCGGGGAAAAAAACCTCTGTCTTGTCGAAGCTCCAAAATTCAGTTGAAACCCATGCCTTCATGTAAAAAGTTGTTTTTTCTGAAAAAAGAAGCTGAAAACTTGTTTACTAATTTTAATTAAAAGCTTTGTGTGAAAAATGCTATGCTAAAGAGCTCAAAGCACACGAGCATCTGCCATTTTGAGAACTGAAAAACAGGAACAAGAGACAGTCCATGTTCACCAAGGGTCCTCCATCCTACTTTTCTCAGAGACACGTTGCTCGCTCCCTCACTATCCATCCTTCGGTTCAAACAGTCTTATACTGCCATCCGGTGGTCGAAAAATGTACTACACACAAAACAAATTAACCAATATTTCTTTTAAAATTTGACAATAATTTCTAATTATAATAATATAATTAATTTCTAATTATTGTCAAATTTCAAACAATATTATCATTTACTGCAATAATTTCTGAGATAATCACCCAGCAAAATTTGTTATTGTGACAGGCCTACTCACAACCTTGTGCGCACGAGACAACTGCTCAGCTTCAGATTTAGTATAAAATGAGAGGACAAATAATATCATGTTTAAAAAGCTGGTCCAGATCTCCTTATTTTCATTTCCAAAGTGTACTCCAGTAGATGAAATCATAAAGTTGGGGGCAGCTGCCAAGGTGGCGCAGAGCGGGCTGAGGCAGACACAATGCACTGCTGATGGGCAACAAAATAATGTGCAGGCCAATGAATACAGTTTTGCGGGTTGTGCACTAAGCTCTGGTTTTAGAAACGAGCCACACGGCTCGCCCATGTTCTCGTGACATGAAGGCAGAAACGGAGGCGAGTCTTCGTTTGAATCTTCAGCTAGTCTCCAACAGTCTGGTGAGATACCGACATTCATTCGATACTATTTGTTAATATAATCTCCACAGTGTCCAACGTTGACAGACTTACCTCCACTGGAGAGGGCTTTGTGGATGAACTCTGCAGCAGGGTAAAAATTGACACTCATGTCAAATGTTGGGGAGTCGTGAGCCTCTATGCCGTGATATGTGATGTTCATCCCTGCATAATGCTCGGCTCCGCCGCACCACTTGCTCTGCGCACAGTTCAGGATGTGCGTGATGCCAAGTCTGGCCAGCTCACGGCGATCTGATGCCATGTTTCTGTGGAGAAAAAGGTTGTTACAACTCTGTCAGTCAAACTGGTATCCTGACATGCCGACTCCCAGTAAAGACTGTGGAGTTAAACAGCTCCAAGTGGACGTTTAGCTTTGACGAACTGACTCGTATTTTATTAAAGTTACAAACAGAAAAATGTACATATTTTTCTTGGTATATAAAATAACTGCCTTTGAAATAAGAAAAAGATTTGTGTAATAGTGGAGCATTTCAGAATAATGTTTCTCAACAAAACACTGGAAGACTTTGAATATCTGGAGGACAAGGCTGAAAGTCAAGACTGGATGGTGAACTTTGGGCCCCCAGGGGCCACTTCTGATTCTGGTCTAGACGTCACTACATGGGCTCAGGAACCCCCACAGATCATTGTCTACACACAGTTCAAGCTCAGTGTTGCCCCTCCCATGATCCAACGAGGGCGGCCACATTTTGACCTGTGAGGGTCGTTCTGTTTGAAAATTATAATCGATTGATCCTTATCACTAAAAACCTCGACTGATATCAATACGGGCAAACTAGACAAACACACTTGACAGAATCAAAGCAAAAAACGTCATTTGTTTTTCATATTTGATAATTTATTGAATTACATTTATTCTAAAATATTACAACCCACTAAAAACAACAACAAAAATAATAATAATAAACTGCGTTTTCATCAGGTCTATGCAACTAGTAGCCCAGGGGCCACTTCCGGCCCGCTGGAGACTTGAATTTGGCCCACCACTGAGTGCATTTAATTTGTGTGTGTGTGTGTTCTGGGTATGGGTTATGTTTATTGCATTTATGATTCTGTCTCTCCTTCCTGTCCTCTCAACCAGCCGATCAAAGCAGATGGCCGCTTGTCCTGAGCCTGGTTCTGCTGGAGGGTTCTTCCTTTTAAAAAGGGAGTTTTTTCTTTCCACTGCTGCCACTGTGCTTGCTCAGGATAGGAGACTGCAATGAAGCCAAGATTCAACTTGTCTGCTGGATTCCGTAGAAAAAGAACTTTACTAATTGGCTTTTATGTATGTGAATGTTTCTGTAAAGTGCCCTGAGACAACTTTGTTGTGATTTGGCGCTTAATAAATAAACTGAATTGAACTGAATGATTCAATGCAACAAAATAAACCAATTTAAAAGGTAACAGATCAATGTAAAACTTGGTTTATTTACATAATGACTTTAATCTGTTCAGAGGCAATATGTTCGACATAACGTTACTTCATCTAGCTACCTAACGGTCACCAATGGTGTACCACAAGGCTCAGTTTTAGGTCCCACTCTTTTTTCAATTTATATAAATAATGTAGGTCTAAACATTCCTGATGCATCCTTGCATCTCTATGCCGATGACACTGTTGTTTATTGCCAAGCTAACACAGTTGCCAAGGATTTCCAGCTTCTAGTCTGCTTTTGACATCATTCAGTCAGACTTATTCCATCTCAAGCTGGTGCTAAATGCTGACAAAACCAAAGGGATGTTGTTTTCCAACAGAAAGTCAGTGCCAGTAACTCTTCCTCCTATCTCATCCATGCATAGTGTTCCTATTGAGTTTGCAGATTCTTTCAAATACTTGGGAATTTTGGTTGATGCACATCTCTGTTTTAAACCACAGACTGAAAACTTGATAAAGAAATTTAAACTAAAACTGGGCTTCTTTTTCAGGAATAGATCTTGCTTAACTCTAAATGCCAGAAAACACCTTGTAACTGCTACCTTCCTACCGACCACTGACTATGGTGACATTATTATTATTATTTTAATTCATTTATTCGTTCTTTTAAAATAAACAAAACAAATTTGTCAAAAAGAAAAATAGACATTGAATGAAATGAGTTCAAAAAGAAGAAGAAAATTCTTATATCTGTCCTTTATTAAAAATAAATAAATAAATAACTACAAACTAACAACAACCTACACTTGAACAATCTCCTAACTGAAAAAAAAAAACCATCAGGCATCCTTCACCTGGTGTCATACCTTCCCAACAACTTTAACTTAATCATCTTTTTAAACATATACATTGTTTTAGAATTTTTTTATGGTGATAACAAGGCAATTTCACAATCCTACTCCCTGAATTACAGCGCAGCGCTCCTTCAGACTAGTTCTAAATGGAGGTTTTACAAACATTTCATTATGTACATGAATGCCCCTGCCAGCTGCTTGCAGATGTTGGATGCTGTCTACCATGGTGCGCTAAGATTCATAACTGGCTGTAACTACCGTACCATCACTGCGCCTGTACTCCTTGGTCAGCTGGTCATCATCATCTACACGTAGGCTCTCACACTGGTTCATTTTCATCTATAAATCCCTACTTGGTCTTCTGCCTTCTTATATCATTCAATTATCATTAAACCTAGATAAAACTAACTATATGATATTCAGTAATAGAAAGAGGACTGTCAATGTTCCATTTAAAGTGGAGGGTGTTGAGATTTGTAGAGTTAGTGAGGTGAAGTTTTGGGTGTTATCATTGATGAAAAACTAACATGGAAACATCACATAAATCATTCAAAAAGTGTTCAATACAAAAACAACTGGACTTTATTTGTAACAGAAGACGTTTAGCTCCTCATCCAAGGAGCTTTCTCAATTCAAAGAGCAGAGAGTGAGGGGTTCAGGTTATAAGGCTGAGTGAGATAAGACACACACACATACAGGTCCTTCTCAAAAAATTAGCATATTGTGATAAAGGTCATTATTTTCCATAATGTAATGATAAAAATGAAACGTTCATATATTTCAGATTCATTGCACACCAACTGAAATATTTCAGGTCTTTAATTGTTTTAATACTGATGATTTTGGCATACAGCTCATGAAAACCCAAAATGCCTGTCCCAAAAAATTAGCATATCATGAAAAGGTTCTCTAAACAAGCTATTAACCTAACCATCTGGATCAACGACGTAACTAAACACCTGCAAAAGATTCCTGAGACCGGACCCTGAGGAGGATTGTGGAGAAGGGCCGATTCCAGACCTTGGGGGACCTGCGGAAGCAGTGGACTGAGTCTGGAGTAGAAACATCCAGAGCCACCGTGCACAGGCGTGTGCAGGAAATGAGCTACAGGTGCCGCATTCCCCAGGTCAAGCCACTCTTGAACAAGAGACTGCGTCAGAAGCATCTTGCCTGGGACTGCTGCTCAGTGGTCCAAAGTTATGTTCTCTGATTACAGTAAATTTTGCATTTCCTTTGGAAATCAAGGTCCCAGAGTCTGGAGGAAGAGAGGAGACACAGAATTCACATTGCTTGAGGTCCAGTGCCAAGTTTCCACAGTCACTGGGGTGTCATGTCAGCTGCTGGTGTTGGTCCACTGTGTTTTATCAAGGGCAGGGTCAATGCAGCTAGCTATCAGGAGATTTTGGAGCACTTCATGCTTCCATCTGCTGAAAAGCTTTATGGAGATGAAGATTTCATTTT